CAAAACGGCTTCCAGATGAAGAAGAAATTAGGAAAAAACGATGGAAATGGATAAGACATACATCACGCAAATCATCAAACTACATCACGAGACAAGCCCTAACTTGGAATCCTGAAGGAGGGCGGAAAAGAGGAAGGCCAAAGAACACATTACGTCGGGAAATAGAAGCAGATATGAAAAGGATGAATAACTACTGGAAAGAGCTGGAAAGGATTGTCCAGGACAGGGTTGGATGGAGAATGCTGGTGAGCGGCCTATGCTCCTCCACGAGGAGTAACAGGCGTAAGTTAGTAAGTAAGGAATGTATTCATTCACTTAATGTGATCATCGAAAGAGTGATAATAATTATTATAATAAATTCATTTGGTATTGCTTTATATGGATCTTCCATTGTTATTTAAGACTGTAATTTATCAGTCTCATGATGGTATATATGCGTCCTGTGCGCATTGCCTCAATATAGCCTTAAGTCACAAACTTTTATAAGCAATGATGGATAGTGGCTAGCAGTGGAATCCAGTTTGATGTGCGTTTCTTCCTATCAGCTGGATATACGTGCATCTTAGACTTGGTGTTCACTCTGGGTACCGTTCGCTTCAAATGCCATCGCACTCCTAAATAACAATAGGAAGATACAAATAAAACAACACCAAATGAATTTAAACTTCACCTCATTACACAAGGAGGTGGTTATGAGAACTCAATAACTCGGTGGATAACATGATAGCGTTTGGAGCGAATGGTACTGGGTTTGAGTCCCAAGGTGAACATCAACTCTGAGATTCAGGTACGTCTAGCTGATGAGTCCCAAATAGTACGAAACGTGCTCCCTGGATTTCACAGCTAGCCATTATCCATCTTTACTTAATAATTATAATAGTTAAAATTATGAGTCGATCTAAGCTGGACCACCATTGAAAACCTGGAACCAATGGACGCCTGTTTTGTCTTAGTATGGGACTCTTCAGCAATGCTCATCCAAGCTCCTGCAAGAGGGGCTTGAACCCAGGACCTTCGGTCTCGTGTATAAACGCTCAACCTCTGGACTACTGAGTTGTCATTTAACGGTATTAATGTCTAACTTGAATCGATCAGTTCTCTTGTGCAACCCTTCATCCATTGTCTGTGTTGGATAACTGTTTCTACTAGCAACGGAGTGGACTCCACTGCTCACATGTTATGGTAATAATAATGTAATTAAAAGACAGATAGGTTATAAAAATTTATTAAGGAAAACCGAATAATCTATCCAGGTAACGTAGCTGCTATGCTGAATAAATGGTCAGATGTGCCCATAGCTGTATACAAGCAGATCGACTTTATAGTCGTAATACTAAAAGCAATGGATTTAATATTGTTCTGCTGACCGTATTAACGTTTAGAGTTAGTTTATTGAACTTAACTAACATTTTTACGTCGATCTGTCTTTCTACAGTAGAAAATAGATTTTATAGTTAGTCAGTCCTGAAAACAGTTCGAATTCATTATGTTTGTTTCAGGATTATGAGCGGAACACATGGAATAAAATCTATCGTTCGCAACAGATAATATGTTATCGGTCTCAAAAGTTTCCAGTTCTGATAACAATAAAATCATGTGTGTTAATTCAGTTTATTTTGCAGAATTCCATTCATGATTGAGATCATGAACCGATTGATGTTAGACCACCATTGTCTTAAACTGGGACTCCTCAGTAGTGCGCATCCACGATCCAGCTCACGGGATTCGAACCCAGAACCTTCGGTCTTGTGTGCGAACGCTTAGCTTCTGGACCACTGAGCCGGCCGACATCGAACGGTGTTAATGTCTAGCATCAACCAATGCACGTAATCGCGTGACGATCTTCCATCATCTGAGACAGAGCCTATCTCTTCCAGACACAGATTCGTCCCACTGGTGATGGCTTCTCATCAGAACTCTGAAAATTCCTTCACGAAACTAGTTACTAATGACATAATAATTTCCACAACTCAAAACTGATAATTCCATTTATCTTGGCATATATTTACACAAATTACCCAAATTCAAACACACACACACACACACCATTGTTAATGATGAAAAATAATTGAAAAATTTCAAAATTACACTGAAGTTATGTTGTTTTTCTTCATCTTTTCCAAATAATCTATTACATAATCTTAATGAAAGTTAATTAATAGTCTATAAAAAATTGTTTTATTAGAAATGTAATCAATCGGATGCAATTATCAACCATTCTAAATGATTCTCACTTATCACTATGTGTAAAAAAAAAATAAAAAATAATTTCAGTCATAAACTTATATTTTAAAATTTTAATAAAATTTACTAAAAATAGTTTCTAAGGGAGTAATAATACGAAACTCATGATGAATGTTTCATCCTACTGAAAACTCATCAATAGTAATGGTAGTATCTCGCAATCCCAATGTTGGCGAGACTATAATTTATGGACGACCTTTGAACGAATCTCAAGTGACCCTGGGGAATATTAGCCAATCAGCAAACAGTAAGTATACAGTAAAAATATATTGTACAAGACCAAGGAAATAAAATGGATACACTTCTTATACGTGGTTCAAAAACTTGTCAAGATTAGAAAGAGGTTCAGAGGTTGTAAAATCGTAAAGCATGCAAAAGAGGAAATCATTCATATGGCTACGGAATAGTCGGCCTCTGGAGCCATGATAAAGTCTCAAAAAATCTTTCGGCCTCGACCACATAGTTTCAATATTGTTTATTTGCACTCCGGTTAATGAGTGCACCAAATGCTACTTGTGGATAACGACACAATGCACATAAACAAGTCTATGTAGGAGTCTGTACGCTCTCCAAACATCCGAATATATTGTAGTACCTGGCTGCAGCCACTGTTACTGGTGCTCTTATTATCCAGTTCGCATTAATTGTCGTAATTTGCCTTAGCTAGGAATTATATATGGGGTTTTCATCACGAACTGACATCAGCTATAATGTCAGGAGTTTATTTAACCAAAAGGATGAAAGGCTTTCGCGTTAAAGTTCGAGATCTATTATCTTGTACAGGATTGATTCATCCACAAATTATAGTCTCGCTGTTTTATTCGTTATAGCCGCTCAATTATCACGTTTTGTACGAAATTCCCTATGAAACGATCGTATGTTACCATTAAGCACTGAAGTTGTCGCCGTGACCTTGAAATGTCATAAACGCTTCTGATTATCTCGTCCATCAATTAGAGTCTCACACCAATCTTCATGTGAACACTTATACTCTAACCAAGTAAATGATGCTTTTAAATACTCGACGCTTTATTCATTGAGCTATTGACTTCAGATAGTCATTAAACTGCCTAACAAATATAAGCGGGAAGCTGTGATGAATAAAGTTCAATCCATATCGGGTGCAAGACAGTTAGCCGTCACATCCAATAGATGAATAGTTACATAAAATCATATATTGAATAAAGTTAATCTGTAATGCTGTTTAATACTGGCTCAGGTCTTGAGTTCTATATCCGCTTGTACAATCATGAATATGCACTGTTGAATAGTTCGATACTACGACGTAATTACCAATCATTATGTGAATCATTTCGTCAAACTTGTTAACATAGTTTACAAATATAATTGATTTTCACTTGATGTTGCTTTTACTTGTATCTTCCCATTGTTATTTAGGACTACAATTGATCAATCTCATGATAGTATATGTGCATCCTCTGTGAATTGTCATAATATTGCCTTAAGTCATAAGCTTTTATAAGCAATGATGGATAGTGACTAACAGTGCAATCCAATTTGACGAGCGTTTCGTCCTATTTTCACATAAGACAACTGTTTTATTCCATTCAACTCTTCTGTAATTTCATGAATATGAAGTCATTGTTTTTCTTTCATTCTAATTCCTTGTCTACTAAAATGTACAGTTTTCCCATCATGTATAACCCTAATCTTTTTGTTCTCTTTTGTAAACTTGAAATTCATTTAGATTTAAAATTCATTAGGCCAATGTAACTTATGAAATATCCAATGAAAAATGTCACAATCATGATTGTATTTGTGTATTGTGTGAATATGTAAATACTACTAATGGGTTAATTCATGTCACGTACATCTACGTTATTATTGTAGATATCTATATACGTACACATACAAGCAAATTCGGATTTATCTGAAGGTTCATTCGTTTAGAGGTCTCTGTATGTGTGTGTGTGTGTAATATAGGGATACATACCTGTCTACCATCATGGTTAATACATATATATATGTATGACAAGAAGGATAAATTGCAGTAAATGGAGCGAAAAGTCAACTGTTTCATCTACCAGATTGTATATACCACCAACTTGACGACATATCTATATCTATCTATCTATCTATCTATCTATCTATCCCTCTAGAGTATATTAGACAAATAAAATAAACAAAATAAAAATCAGTTATGTCGATGATATTGATAATGACGATGATGATGATTATGCCGCTGACGATGATGGCGATGAATATATATGACAGTTAGACGCTTGATAATATTATCTCTATTGATATAACAATTCTATAGTCATAGTCAATTATCATTATATATACAAAATTGTTTTACTTCATTCTACTTGGATACTTATACATGGATACACACTACAGATAGACATGGTTACTAGTAGTGCATTCATTGAATTATTTATTTATTATTCATTAAAACGACATTGTTAAATTGGGAAAAATGTTACATTTACCCTCCATCTGTCTGGTGTACACATACACACTTACACACCTACACACACACACACCTATAAACATACCTACACACACACCAACACATACAGACACATATACAAAATCATTTGCACTGTATGATATAATTACAAATAAAATGAAAATACCGCTCAATTAAACTGATCCAGTTTCCAAGGGAAATTATTTATTTATTTTTTTGAAATGAGAATTATTATTCTTATTTTCATTGATTAATTATGTTATTAATTCATTTCAAGTTTTATTTACAAATAAATAATTTTTTATATTTTTTATGTCAATTCATGATTTTCTTATCGAATATATGGATTTTCAAAATGATACAAGCAAATCATGTCACCATGGCAACAAATAATAGTAATAATAATAATAGTAAGCATAATTTATTATTTAATTCTGATGGAAACATTTTCAATATGGAAACACAGATGGATTTGATTCATCGTTTACCACGTTACACACAAATATTGTCATCGTCGTCGTCATCGTCATCATCATCATCATCTTCGTCACCGTCAGCAATAACACCAGTTCTAGGTACAGAATTAATTCAACTTAGTCATAATTGTATAGTCTATGATGAAACACCAGCTCAATATAATTTACTTGATGAAACTAATGGAAATACATGTCAATTATTATCATCATCATCCTTCTCATCCTCATCCTCATCATCATCATCATTATCGAGTATACCAATGATTCAAATAAAAAATTCCGAGAAATTATTCATTAATATGAAAATTATTACAACAGCAAATCCCATGGCAAAATATTTTAATATTAATCCAAATAATTATACATTGTATACAAGTCAACATATTGATCGTGAAGAATTATGTAATCAAGCAATGCTCATGACTGATACATCGTCTATACCGGATTCATTACGAACATGTTGTATAAATCGTCGAAAGGAATGTATTTTCCCATTGAATATACTTGTACAGACAAGAATTGGTAAGGATGATACGATTGCTGTTACTACTACTACTACTAACAGTATTAATAGTAGTAGTAGCACCATTTCTAAACATCCAGTCGACAAAGGAATTAATCATGGATCATCCATTATTACTGATACTGCAATCGCTGATATTAGTAGTATGGGTAGTATTAGTAGTAGTGGTAATATTGCTGATGTTGTAAGTAGTAGTTCACGTTCAAAATTTTTACAATTAACATAAAACTAATTGATATCAATGATAATGCACCAAAATTTCCAAATCCTCAATATACAATCCATGTTTCAGAAGGAATACATGTTGGATCCAGGTTACCTTTACCATTAGCGGAAGATTTAGATTGTGTAGACTATAATATTGTACGGTGAGTCTGATTATAATATTTAAAAGCATATATATGTTTATATATTCATTGCTGTACAGGTATCATGTTTCAATGGTTGACATGGTCAATGTTATTTTAATGGAAATAGTGAATTTTGTGTTTAATAAAGCTTAGATCTTATTCATACATGATCATGTCAAGAATCGAAACCAGATCGTTAAGCAATCACAATTGTGGTCTAATTAACTAGAACAATACAATTGTTAAGTAGTTCATAATTGATTCCTTGAGTTCAATATGTGACAAGAATTGTTTTCATCCTGTTTTTCTTTTCTATTCACGATTGAATTATGACCAATTTTTATTAGTATATGTATGAAGAGTACAGTATTGAGTTTCAATGAGAGTATTAACATTTAGATGCCGGCCAATCCGGTTTTTTCCTGAATTTTACTATTAACTGTACTTCATTTTGATGGAGTTTTGTTCTCTCAGCTGGATGATTTAGTCATGGAGCATTCGAGTAATTCGAACACTTCACTTCTACCTGAAGTTTGTGCTGATGATTTCGTCAGAAGAACGAAAAAAGCTTCACAAACAAACCATCCAGTTCAGTGAACAAAACTCCATCAAAATCATCCACTTGCGTTACAAATCTTCTTCACCACGTCACTTCATCTTATCTAAGTAGATTATTTCCGATGAAATTGTGAACTTATATGTTAGATGATTTCAGTATGAAAATTTCACTGTCTTTCTAAACTTACATTTGAGTACTCAATTCGAAATAATCATGATTATATAAAAGATTTATTAATTTTCACTTCTCATTTAATAAAATTCCACCTGAATAATACAAAAACAGATTAATTATCATCAGAAGGGGTTTTGTGAAAATCGTGGTAAATTCAATATTTGAGATCATGAGTCCATTGAATCTAGACCACCATGGAAAACCTGGTAGTACTGGAAGACCATTTCGTCCTATTGTGGGACTCCTCAGCAGCGCGCATCCATGACCCCTCCTCGCAGGATTCGATGTGTCGCTCAATTTCGTGGATTAGTTGAAGCTACATATTAACGCCGTTGGATGCCGGCCGGCTCAGTGGTCTAGTAGTTAAGCTCTCGTGTGCGAGACTGATAGGTCCTGGGTTCAAGTTTTGCGAGGTGAAGTCATGGATGCGCACTGCTGAGGAGTCCCATAATAGGACGAGTTGGCCGTCCAGTGCTTCCAGATTTTCCATGATGATCTAGCTTCAATTGACTCATGATCTCAACCATTGAGATTAATCATCATTATATATGTCCATATCTATGTGTCCATGTTTGTGTGTAGTAATTATGTATGTGTGCATGTATGCATGTAAGTGAATTCGTTCTTATCAATTTCAGTATCAAACATAGAAACAAATAGATATTCATCATTTCAAAGTTGATCAAAATAAGAATCAATAAACTGTGATAGTTTATGATCTGATTTGCAGGTAACTTGGTTGGGGTCCGCGTGACTACTGTAACCAATGGTTGGAGACTTGCCTCAGAATAGATCGCAATGGCGTAGGTGGTGTATACACTCTTTGTTTTCCCTTAAACTATGAGAATAAAATCACTTTATACCTTTCTTTCTAATTCTTTCTTCCTGTACTATATCCTTATATGCAATTTTTCTTTTATATATTATCACTATTGACTTAACTACTATGAATCCGGTGTTTATCTTGCTGTTCTAATGTGGTACGGCAACTTGGACCGATGCATATATGTGCCTGATCCTACGTCGTAGCTGATTGACTGACTAAATAAGGTTTATGAGGTTTGTAGTTGAAAAATTCCATAGATACTCACCTATTCATTCACATTTTCACTTGTAAATCGATATATACAGTTGATTATGATATGTATTTAGTATGATTTCTTGTATTGAACATCATGTAAAATATATTAGCAGTGTAAAGTATACTACTTAAATCTACTTCGTAATTCCTCCTTTTCGACAATTTGATTTCATCATATTGATAAGTTAGTGGATAGAAGTTTGAAAATTTTGTCCAGTTTTATCCAATTGTAAGTATCTTCTTTTACAAATACTTACTATAAATAGATCCTATTCATTGTAAATTTAATATTCAAATGATCTTGAATAAACGTTTTCAGCCATTCTATACTGTAACATCGAATGAAAATATTATTAAGATACTTTACATACCTAACAGTAAGTTTGTTTACATCAATTTGGTCCTAATGAGTTGCCTACAAATACACTATCTACTTAACAACATAATTTATTGCGCAATATAATATACTACTAATAATAATCCCCTAAAGGAATTAAGTATTGTATTGTGAAATTCACTGAAATTCATTCAGAGATAGATGATAGTTAGTAGCAGAATTCAGGACTAAAGTTTCGTCCTACATGGAACTCATTAACTTGATGCATCTGCTGTATTATTGAAGAACTTTATTTAAATTAATGTACATTTACATAGATACAAATAAATTCTAATCTCATCATAGTATATATGAATGTGTGTGTGTGCGTACGTGGGCGCGTGCGTGCGTGCATATGTATATGTGTGTGATCTTGACTAAATTCTAGTCTGGAGTAGAATATCCCAGTTACTAATCAAATCAATAATCTAAATATACAAACCGCTACCCATCTAACCGAAATGTATTTCATTTAATACTTTCTAGTATCATGGATACAAATAATTACTAATCAAATACTGTGAAGAAACCAATGAAATATGTTGCTTTGATCTCATTGATCTTTCCATTGATCGTCAGTAGCTATCAACAATTAACTATATCCGGCTCAGTGGTCTAGTGGTTAAACGTTCGCGCGTGAGACTGATAGGTCCCGGGTTCAAATCTCGCGATGCGAGGTCGTGAATACACACTGATGAGGAGTCCCATACTAGGACAAAACGGTCATACAGTGCCTTCAGGTTTTTCATGGTGGTCTAGCGTCAATCGACTCATAATTTCAACTAGTGAAATAATTTACATATAAGTTACTTATATATCCCATTTAATTTATTAAGTAAATTTAAGATGTCATATGACTTGTCTAGTCTACTTTGTACTATATGTTAGTTGTTGTTGTTCTTTTTTCCCCTAATAAATTGAATTAACAAGTAATCAGTATAACAATGATCCTTCATTCTTCAATTCAGTAGGCTAAAACGAAATGTAAAAAAACATACATATCAGTAGAGGGTAAATTCTATAAGGTATATCTGGAAAGTATTTAAATGTTCACTTGATTGATTGAGTAGTGATGTTAGTGGAGGAGTGATATGAAGAAGTAAACCATAATGAAACTTTATTGAATTGTAAAACAAAAAATAACAACTTAGAAATTGAGGATCTTCATTGTTGTAGAAATTTTGTGTAATTTGTTTATCTTATAAATAGATTTCGTAGGAGTTTTTGTGGATATTGTAGTAATTTCAATAGTTGAGATTAGGAGTCAATTGAAGCTAGACCACCATGGAAAATCTGAAAGTACTGGACGGCCGTTTCGTTCTAGTATGGGACTCCTCAGCAGTGCGCATCCACGACTTCAACTCGCGAGATTTGAACCCATGACCTATCGGTCTCACGCGCGAGAGCTTAACCTCTACAACACTGAGCCGACCGGCATCCAACGGTGTTAATATCAAGCTTCAACTAATCCACAAAATTGAGCAACACATTCACCATTGTTATCAGTGAGCTACTATTTGACAGCAGACTCGGTTGAACGTGAGCGCTCGAGTGCTTAACCTCAACACCACTGAGCCGGTTATAGTTAGTTGTTGATAGGTACTGTCGATCAATGGAATGATCAATGAGATCAAAAAAGAACATATTTCATTGGTTTCTTCATAGTATTTGATTAGTAATTATTTTGTATCCATGATACTAGAAAGTATTAAATGAAATACATTTTGGTTAGATGGGGAGCGGTCTGTATTTAGATTATTGATTTGATTAGTAACTAGGATATTCTACCAGAGACTAGAATGAAATACATATAGCTTTAAAAATCAACAACATAACGATGAGATGGAAGGAAAAGTATAACTATACTGAAATACTTGAACATTGAATACTTCTTTACACGAAAGTTAAGGAAACAACTGTGAAATGTTTGTAATCTTTTCATTAAATCGTAAATCGTGAAATTCCATATAATAGCAATGGTGATGATTAGTGTTAATCGTTAGTAGAAATCTTTGAATTTCTTGATGGAGAGAATGAATCGATCGATTTTAGACCACCATTGGAAATCCGGAAGTACTAGTTGGCCGTTTCACTATAGTATGGCACTCCCCAGCAGTGGGCATCTACGATCCCGCTCGCGGAATTCGAACTTAAGGCCTTGAGTCTCGCGAGTGAACTCTTTACCTCTAGACCACTGAGCCAGCGTCGAAAGGTGTTAATATCTAACGTCAAAAAAAGAAAAATGAAAAGGAAAAAAAGCTTGACAAGCTCCACAACCCTACACTAATCTTTGAATGTAATCAGTTACATAATGAGGTGACCATAAGACAAGTCTTGTACTGGGACTAAAGAAGCTGTTCAATACTTCCTAGATCAGAAATGATTTTCTAAATTATACAAATATTGATAATGATAATAATAATAACCCTCTACCATTAACCCATGAATTTTTGAAACAATTTACAAATGAACTCAATAAATCTAGTCCCAAAGAAGGGGAAAATTGGCACATTAATGACCTAAATATTTGTTTGTTTATCTGTTTTGTTTTAAAACATTTAACCTTAATGTTTAAGTCATCAAAATGGTGGTTATGACATTGGATATGTGTAAGTGACTTTGCTTTTCAATCATCACTATATATATACATGAGGTATCCAGTATATTTTTCTTGTAGTTTTTCTTTCATCTATTCAACACATACTGGATATAAATACTCACGTCTGTTACTCTCAATAAAGAATAGACTGCCAACCAGCATTCTCCAACTCACTTCCCTTATAGTTCGATCCAATTCTTGTTCGTTCTTCTCATGTCTGTCTCCATTT